AGTAAAATCGACCACATTTGGGCGAGAAAAAAGTGCTGTTTCGTCACCATAGATACAATCCAACAATTGAGCTATGAACTCCTCTACCCCATCCAGCATATTCTCCAGATTTTGCCCCCAGCGACTATGCGCTGTATCCGAAATCCGAAGAAATCGCTCGGCGGTAAGATATTTGGGTCGAATGAAGAGGTCATCGCTGAAACAAACGCTTCTTTAAAGGATCTTGATAAACCTATTATTTGGAAGGAATCAAAAAATTGGAGAAACGCTGAACTAAATGTAGCGAGCTATCGAGGAGACTATGTTAAGAAATAAAACGCTTTTTTGCAGAAAAACATATATTTCATTCAAACAGTCATTGGGCGCGTTCATAAGACGTAACTATTTAGCTCAACTACTACGAAACTGCTGGCAACTATTGAACCCAACAATTACGTCTTAGAAACGGCTTGATGAATATGCTGTCAAATGAATGAGATGAAAGGTGATAAATGTAAACAAATGAAATTGAAAAAAATAGAGATAGTTGCGCCGATAGTATTTAGAATTCAACGCTGAGCTGCCGCCGTGTTGAAAAAATCTTTCAATGATATAATGAATTAAACAGTGTATAATTATATAGCAAACATCTTAAAAAAACATATATATAGAAACGTAGTATTATTATAAAATATTTTAGTCACTTTATCACATCGGTAATATAAAATAGAATAAGTTTTCTTTGCAACTGTCACCTTAGTAAGCGGCGTTAAATTTAATATAAGCGCCGTACGTCTTTTTGATCAGCTGTTTAGGCTAAGCCCAGCGCGTTGAGTTCAGGTAGCGTAAAAATTTTCCGCTGAAAAAAAAGGCGGAAAGTTGCCAACAGTTGAGCTGAGCGGAACTACTCAACTGTGCGTTTCTAAGACAAACAGCCAACGGTTACCCAACAGCTCCGTCTTATGAACGCGCCCATTGAGTTTTCAAATTGCTCCCGTACTTATACTACCGGCTTCCTCTTACAGTGGTCTCAAATAGGTAGATAAGCATACATATGTACACAACTTCATAAAAAAAAGAGATTCGAATATTGCCGGTAAATCTACTCAACAATTGCCAGACTAGTTTTAATAGCACTAATTCGGAGCTAATGATCAGGTGCAGACAGTAAGGAATGGACAAGCTTGGTTCGTCCGGCTCGTAACCGACGCATCGCGGAATTGCACATTTAATTAAGCATGCGAAGTGAACGACAACACAGCAAACCACAGCAAAACCGCGAAACAACGAAATTTCCAAATGAAGTAACAAATATGAATGAAGGAAGAACGACAAAAAACAGCAAATGGATAGAGAAATGTAGGCGCACAACTATTCGTTTAGTCCTATTTGTACATATGTTTGTCCAAAAGCATGACCAGCAGATTGCAGTCGCTGGATTTTACATACAATGCAAGTAAAAGCATTACAGACGGCAGCGTTTATACGGATCAACTCGTTAATTCGGAATTATCTCGGGAATTAACAGCAATTGGATTAAGTCCTAAAGTTACTTCTTAATGCGGATCAGAGAACTTTCGATGAAAACACTGACCAAAACGGGCAGCTGCTGATAATTGTGAATGAAAAATAGACGAATGTGAATGAAAAATATTCGATCTCCACTTGGAGCAACTATAACAAATTAGATTTGATTTATTTATCTTTTTTATTTAGTTTATTTTATATATATTAATTTATGGTTTAATTTTATTTTATATCAATTTATTTTAAGTTTTTTGAGTTTTAGTTTCTTAAGAAGGTCACAACAACTATAACTTGATAAAAAAATATATAAAATAACTGCTTAAGGAACCAAAAAAAAATTAAAAAAAATCTTCTGCCCTTGGGATACAAACTTACGACCTTGCTGCTCGCTTAATCCGCAATACAGCCTTCTGTTAGGGTACAATTCAGATCAAACCAACTGCGCCGTTAATCCGAATTAAGATTGCCGTCTGTCTACGCTATAACTTTGAATTCGTGCAATTGTGTTACACTGCATTCGAATGATTTTTTTTACGTAACACAATCAACGCTTCACGTATTATACATATTTACGAGTACATGTAAAAGTGTACTATGTATGACTGACACTTTGCTAAGATCCGAAAGTATCAGAACCACAGAATTCTGTAAATTAAGCTGCGCTGTAGCGAGAAGAAACGCAGTAATTTCTGCAAGTGCTCCGACGTTTAACGAATTAAAGCTAAAAATTGCTTCAAGCAAACATTGGCTAAATTAAAAAGAACTCACATTTCATATACAAAAGAGGGGAGACAGGAAAATGAGTGGCTAACGACAACAATAAAGGACTATCCTTCACTGCCCCATTATTCGCCAGTGCTTTTATAAAAGGGAGCAGGAATATTCAGGCACTTGACACAATGCAAAGTTTAAACGACAAAAGGGAAGTTAAACATACATAGTTGGTGGGTGAGGAAAAGTGTATGTACTACTTATATATTTAGTACATGCGTTTCTTCTTTATGCGGCAAAAAAAAAATTGGGAACAATAGCTCATCGCTCGTCTTCTGCATTCTTTTATAATTTAGCCAAACAATGCTGTATATTTTTTGAGTTCAAGAGAAAATCATGTTTAAGGACCACAAAAGAATTAAATATACACATGTGCATAGTTTTAAATTTGCATTAGCAATTTTTAATATTTTTATTGAGCTTTGTACCACGATTGTTTATTAGGAAAAATTGAAAAAGCAACAAAGTCTAAGCGGTAGAAGTTATAGCACTATTTCGGAGATCACCACATCTCCTCATCAGACTTCTTTTTTCTAGACTTCAGCAGGGATCGAACCTGCGAATTCGATGTTCAAAGTCAGAAGCGTTAACCACTGAGCTATGTACATCCCGTAAACTCTTGTTGCTAATTCATTTTCCTTATTCAACCAACTACTATCAAGTGCAGCTGATTTGCCGCTATTTAAACTCGACAGCGTGGTTGTTGTTGTCAATTCTATACATCCATTTGCTTATTTGCTTTTTTGTATAGTTTCAGGCAGGCTCTTCCTAAACTATGTATTTGTCAATGTTATTGTGGCTTGCTAAGATTTTATTTTTAATATTTTTATTGAGCTTTGTACCACGATTGTTTATTAGGAAAAATTGAAAAAGCAACAAAGTCTAAGCGGTAGAAGTTATAGCACTATTTCACTATGCATTAGCAAGTTTTGGAATATTTTTGTGATTCGGAAATTTTAGTATATTATACAAATTACTGTGCGATGACCAATATTATACATCGATTAATCTAGTTGGAACTAAGCCAAATTGCTAGAATAGCTGATATTATAGATACTGTCTCCTGCCCGTTTTAGCTCCAGTGGATTTCACCCGGCCAGTAGCCTCGTAACGTTTTTAGGAAGATACCGTCTGTTTTTTTTCGGTTACATACGGGCCACATGAGCGGCCGCTGAACCCGAGAGATAAGAGGTGCATACTACATTCTGTACGGCCTATGTTCAATCCATTGCCTGGGCAACATCTAAAATTGGAAAGCGAGCCCCTCGGCCATGAAATGTTTTCGTAGAGACGGCGTAAAGCTAAAACCCACACCACACCACCAGTCAAACATTTAGCAAAAAATTTGAGCGCCAGATTCTAACTAGATTCGACTTTATTTTGAAGAACGCCAGAGTCCTCCTTGGACTCCTCCCTTGAACAAATCGCAAAGTAAGATAGATGCACTAATCAGTTTGCTCCCAGGGTCTCTCATAAAATACCAGCTTCAACTTCACGTTAGACTTCAGAGTAATCGATGTCCAAATGATGCATCTAGGCGGACATATCAAATTACCCATCTCAGTCGGCCCTCAACACGAAGAGATTTAAGTTCATATATTATCCTAAGCCAATAATCTTAGACGTTAAGCAAGAGATTATAATACTACTTACGCCCGATCGTTAGTTCTTTCCACATATTTAGTTTTCTGGGTCTTACTTTTGAATTGAAACCTCATGCTTTCCTCGAAAGACAAATCCGCTATATTTATCTCCAAACTTAGCTTAGCCTCTAGTATTACTACAAAATTCTTCGCTCAAGCTAGGCACTTCACTACTTATTCTCTTGAAGCCGCATTGCTTAGCATTTCGGCCTAGCTTACATCGGGACACTGCCTTCAATCACGCCTGTTTGGGCTTGAGTAATGCTGAGTTAGTAGTGGTAATCCAGAAAAATTTTAAAATTACCCTGCCTTAAGCCATGCGGCTGTAATCGTTCGTATGCAGCTCCCCAAGCCGTCAGAAATCGTTATGACGCCAAGCTTGTCTTAGGATTTGTGAATAGCCAGTATGTACTAGTTCTATTTGAGGGATCTCACAACTTTTCTAAAGAAGCGCCGCCGAAATATTTACCGTAGATGTGTCCTCGTCTTCCATATTTTGGAACGAAAACTACTTGTACTCGCGTTCAAGACAAAGGGACGTGGCAAGGGTTGAACTACTTTTGAAAACGTATAAAACCAGGGCATTATAGCAGCGTACTCGTTTTGCAAAATAATATAACGCAAAATTTTTCAAAGCAAAAGGTATATGTATGAGACCATGAAGTAGTATTCACATGTACAGTATTCCCCGCTTAATTGACCCGTGGGTAATTGTTTTCCCCGCATAATTGGTTAAAAATATATGCTATAGAAAAGATATGCACCTTCAATATTTAAGCGTAATTTTGATCCACGTTTTTCAAAAGTGTCCTAGAAGTACTGTTTGCAAAGACTTATCGGGACTAAATTATTCTATAAAAAATGTCCTAAAAAAAATGTAAATAAGGGTTACCAAACCAAAGAAAACGATGCGTCGTAAGCCAAGAGCTTAAAATGTTATATAAAAAGTAGTACTTTATGAATATTTTATACTTAAGATTTTCTTTAACTTTTTAATAGGGTTTTCGACAAAAAAAATGGAGTGGCATCACCGATTATTTGCTTTGTGTTTTACTTTCCCTAATTAATATTTTTTGCTCTTCAACTAAGAAAGTTAACCGCTAATAGCTAATAATTAGCTTTATCATACAGAGATAGACTACGTTGCAATTCAATAGAGTAAACAAAGCAAGACATCTATCTATGGAGGTGCCAATTACTCGTGCTTTCATAGGAATTTACTTGCATGCGTAAGACGAAATACTCATTCGATAATAAAGCTTATAGAAACAAACAGCTGTGTCAATTTGCTAAGGCGTCACCTCCCTCATAAAAAGGGCAAATTGTGACTACAAATTACAATCACTTTATCAGTTTGCTTTGCTAATTTTCTATAATCAAGCGTAGTACATATTTTTCACTGGCACCGAGCACAACTTCATTCGCTCGAAATGCGCAGTCTGATTTTGACAATTTTGCTGGCAATACTTTGCTGCGAATTGCAATTTAGCAATGCCGATGGTGGCTATGGCAGCTATGGTCCTGAATTCAAGGCCACTGCTGGTTAAAAAAAAAACTCCTTTTCATTTAATTTTTAAATTTTAAATTACACTTTCCTCTATTCATGCAGGCAAAGTTTGGCCAAAGCCCCACCGACAAGTGGAGAGCAGTACCTATTATGCGGTTAATGCCACGGATTTTAAATTTGTCGTAAGTGCCTTCGAAAACCAAAGAAGAAAAAACTGGACATAAGAATTCAAATTTCGCAAACAATTTATCTCCTCCCATATCAAAGGCTGTGAACAAGAATTGTGCGCTACTGGAAGCGGCCTTCACACGCTACGCCAACATCATACGCGCTGCAGCGGAGGGCTACATTCGCGCGCCTGCCACCGCTACCGTTGGTGTCATCCGAAAATTCCTTGTCAATCTGACACAACCCTGCGAAAACTTGCCACATCTCGACATGGATGAGTCATGTAAGTAAGTGTGTGTGAGTAATTGAAATGGCTTGGGATAAAGACAAGAGCAACCGCAGCGGCAGCACGTCCTTCAACAACAACAACAACTTGCTGCAAAAGATTGCAATATTAAGTGAACGAACGTTGCATTAATCGCAGCGCGCCCATCTTTTGCACTCGTTGTGCTCTATCTTTTTAATTTATCTCACGCTGTTTAATGCCACTTAAAAAAGTTACTCTTTTTCTTTTTACCATTTACTTTTTCTTAATTTCCCACATACCCCAGATTATGTACGTGGTGATGGAGTGGTAAAAGCCAACTCCATTTGGGGTATATTACGCGGGTTGGAAACACTCTCCCAGCTGTTGGTGCCAATGCCAAGTGGGCTGGTAAGTAAACAAGTGACAAATTTAACCCATTAACGCCACACAACTACTACATATACATAACTGTTGAAAATACTTATGTATTTAAATATGTATTTGTATTTGTA